GTAATTTTGAAAACACAATACATATGCTTATAATCATAAAATACTACATACATCTTTAAATATACATATATAAATGTAGACCTATATAATTAATTTTAATAATGTCAGTGTATTCCACTGTAAACTCTACACATTTATTTGACAAATTTCTTATTGATGGATGTTTAGGTTCACTAATATAAAAAATACTGCACTTATTATTGCTCTTATTCATCTTTTGCTTTTCTCAAAGTTTACATACAGATTTTTATATTCAACAATTCCACAGTATAAAAGTTAATTTAGCCTGCATGCCTAAAATAACATAAATAAAATATCACTATCACTTGTCACCAAATAATAAATTTGCTTTGTATATGACATTAGATAGTATAGTCCACTACAAGAGTATAATATATACATATAAGTTTCCATGAAATAAATTAAAATAAGAAAAATTATTCCTTATTTTATATCAGGCAATAGTGATTTCTAATTGTTAAGACTTGTCTAAGACCTGTTTTAAATTTATTGGCTGTACAGAAACAATTATCAATTTGATGACTGCTCTACTTACCTTAGTTATTGCCCAATGAATGCTGAATTTATACTTATTTATAGGCTATACCCTTCACTTGATTATATTACATTCCTGTAGGCATCAACATGACTTGATTTAATCCATGAGACCTTCCTTTTTATGTATTTTCTCATTTCTTTAAAAGCATAAATGGTTAATTAATGTGCTTATGATGACAGAATTTGCTGCCTCTCAAAGTCTGCAGTGTCATATTCAAATTGCATTTATATGTAAAAAGTGTTATGTTTAACCCACTTCAAGACTAATTCTTCCTATTCCAAACTAGGGAAATACACCATAAACTTCTGTATGTCTTCAAAGAGCTTTGCAGAACTGGAGACATGGCTCAGTGGTTAAGAGTGCTTGCTGTACAGCTCTTTCAATGGACCTGAGATGAGTTCCCAGCAACCACATCAGGCAATTCACAACCACCTGTGACTCTAGCTCAGGGGATCTGACACTGTCTTCTGGCCCTAGTGGGCAATTGTACTTATGTGCATACCCTCCCATATATATAATTTAAAAGGTAAAAAATATCTTTAATAATTTAAAAATGTTTAAAGTTGGGAGCACAAATAATTGCATTTATTGTTTTTCTAAGAGCAATGTGAATACAGTTATTGCAGTTTTGCATAATCATTAACTTACTTGAACATCAACTATTTACGCAATTTGCTCATGCATGTGACCTCCTAACCCATTTAGTAAATTTTCTCTTAATGTGACAAATTCTACATTTCCTACAGGAATTCCAAAGCCAAGAATTGCCAAAATCATCTCTGGCGAGTGCACAGGGAAAAGGTAAGGACCCATGGAAGATGGATTCTACTACGAGGACAGTGGGACTGAAGTACGTGATAGACTGGCCACAGAAAACAGAGCTCAGAACACAGCTTCAACATCTTTTTAAATACTGTGACAGTGTCACAGATGAATGAGGAAAGGCAAATAATTTAGTAAATGGTACTGGGATGACTGGATATCCAGTTTAAAAAGTAAATTCACTGCCAGTCTTGGTAGCTCCTGGTTTTAATATCAGCATTCAGGAAGCAGAGGCAGGCTAATCTCTGTGAGATTCAGGACTTCCTGTTCTGCATAGTGATTTCCTGGACATCTGGGCTATAGGGACACCTGGTTTAAAAAAAAAAATACAAACCAACTTTCCTACTACCCTGACAAGTATACCATATACTATTGATCAAAAAGCTTCTTTTTGAAACAGATGGAGGCTACTGCAGAGTTCCAGAACTTGTCACACGCAAAAAATAAATATCTGAGAGATGCTGAGTCTGAGGTCACATATATACAATGGAACCTCCACCCCTAAAGTTCATGGAACTTAGCAGAACAGGGTGTGGAAAGAACGCTAGTGCATCCCTCAACTCTCACCAGCAAAGCTTCCTTATACAACAGAGTGTGATGCACACAGAAGGACACAGCTGGCCAAATTTTAGAGAACAAAAGACTACAGAGTGTGTGTCCCTGGATAGAACTCCTACACTAAATCTCACCCACCCACAGCTCACAGGTCATTGCGGAAGAGGGGACTAAAAGATTATAAGAGCCAGAGTTGGTGCATGAACAGTAGGAAACAGAGACTCTCAGACCCCTGGGAACTTGCTCATAAACTCGCAACAATGGTGACAGTATGCACAAGACCCATACAAGACTCAAGCAGATAAAAACCCAGCATAGAATGGGGAAAATGGGCAGCAGTCCCCGCCCCTAGCCAAGGAACTGTTGGAAATGATTACTGCAGGGTGAGGGAGGGTAGATCTTCTTGAAGGGAGTTACTCTAAGTCTAGACTCTAGTGGACAAAATTGAACTGATGGACATCTGTGTACAAATACTATAATGGATAGGACAACATATCTGACAGACTACTGGAAATCTGGTTGGGGGGGTGATACGGGAGTTGGGGAGGAGGAACAGAGGTCTAAACTTGATTAAGATGTATTATAGGACAACCATTAAAATTCAATTAAAGTTAGGAAAAAAGGAAAGAAAAAGCAATGTTAATGAAAAGTTTAAAAAAGAAAGAAAAACCTTTAAATTGTCACTGAAATTATTAATTGGCACTTTTAGTTTTTGATGAAACATCATGATTTAAATGTGCATGTCCTGCCCATAAATGTTATTCTAGTCTTAGAAAATCATTTTCTTTACTGGTTTTTCCTCATAATATGATTTTGAAAGTTCCATAAGGTCTACACTGAAAATTTTCATTAAACTATTACTTGACTTTAGTTATGTACTGTGAATGTATAGTCTCAATAGAATCAAATTTATTATTTGACCTTTAAGAATTTAAAACAACTGGGCATGGCTGTTCACACCTTTAATTCCAGCACATAGGAGGCAGAGGCAGGCAGCTGTGAGAGCCAAAAAAAAAAAAAAAAATAAAATGGAAAACTGTTTTTAGAAACATTTGTAAATACACACAATTACCTACTTCTTTTTCCAAAAAAAAAAAAAAAATTGACATGGAAACTGGATTTTAGAAACTATGTATAATTAACCAAATGTACATCTCTGTAAATTTATTTCTGAATAAAATTTAACTAAACTTTCCTTTAAAATATTTATGAAATTTGCATTATGCAAAGCTGTGTATTTCAATGATTAAGCGAACTGTGGTAGAGGCATTAGATATATTACTATTATAATTAGAGAAATATGTTGACAAATATATGATAAAAATTAAAAAGAAAATTGGAATAATGAAGTGAAACTGAAATGTTTCACAAACAACAAAGAAAAGGTAATTTTTCAATTACATGTAAACAAATTTTAACAGAGTCAGGAAATTTTTTTTTTGGTAGAAATATATAAAAGGATTAAAGAAACCACAGACCTTTATTAGATTAGAAAGTTGGCTTTCTTTCTTTTCTGCCTTAAAACTTTCACATTTTAATATTTGCTTACAATGATAATTTCTCAAACCAGAGGACCAAGTTGCACTGATTGCTGAGCCCAGCTAGTTTCCTCCTTGTTTACTCATACCTCTGCGCAATTACTGACGAGAGAGGGAGTAACAAGAAGCTTATGACGATGTTTTAATCTTGATCAGGCTTTGGGTTCAGAGGACAAGACCTGTCAAGCTCGAGGACCCCAACTCACCAGGTACAGCAGAGATTGAATTAACTAAAGATAATGGATGACAGTCAAAGAGCAAGGAAGACAGTGTGTCCAAGCACACACAGCCCCTCTCACCAGACCGCCACACTGCAAGGGTGATCAGAGCAAGAAAAATGCCTGAGCATCTGCCTAGAGTTCACTAGAGACATTCCACTCGGTACTACATTCTTATTTTTCATAGCACAACAAGATGGACAATGTTAGCAATAACGAACCACAAATCTCATACTAGAGAGAAATTTGTTTGTATTCACCATAAGAATGATAAAAGTTTAAATTGAAGGATGCTCTAACTAGTCTGAGTTGATCACTATCCAAGAATGCAAGGATCAAAATATTACACTGAACCGTATGAGTATGTACACGCATGAGCACAAAATTGGCTTTAAATGCTTCAAGTGCACTACAGTTTTCTCCTCACTCCGGAAGATGATTGCGGTGCATGTCCTGTGATGACAAAGGATATCCAGCACTAACCCAGATGAGGAGCAGATACAGGGAGGGCCCAAAAGAAGCAAATTTGCCACAACACATAAAATGCAGCACTGAAATATCTGAGTGTTTTAAATTCCCAAAATTGTTGGGAAAGGTAAGTTTGTAAAGGATTGAAACAATTATATGAGCATTTGGGAAGAATCTGAAGTATCTTATGTACAATTAGAAAAGAAATTAAATCATCCTGTTATTTTAGGGAAAACGTCATCAGCTTTTAAAAATCTTTAAATCTATAGTAAATTTCTCGAAATTTCCATTCTTCCTGAACATAAGGAAATAGAGAGTCCAACAGGCTCCTAGGGACCTTGCTCATATGAACTTACAGCACTGGTGTCAGCGTGTACAAGACCCACGCAAACTCAAGCAGACAAAAACCCAGCATAGAACTGGGGAAATGGGCAGCAGGCCCCAGTCTCCTCCGAAAAACTATTGGGCAGCCGATTACTACTGGGTGAGGAAGAGCTGATGTTCTTTAAGGAAGTGACTCCAGATAGACTGCCTAGACCCCAGTGAATGAACTTGCACTGAAGGACGTCAGTGGATTCTAATTTAACTCATTAGGCCTTAACATAAATGACAGAAGGCATGAAATACAGTTAGGGATTGTGGGATGGTGCCGATGGGGAAGGGGGTATAAAGATGATTAAGATGTTGTATATGAAATACACAAAATTTCAATAAAATATTTTTAATTGCTTGTTTTAATGTTATGTGCATGCTAACGAATTACAAAGAATAGCACTCTAAAATGTGCAGAATTGAGTAGATGTCAATTAAGTGTGTGTCAGGGAAGGTTTCAATACATACGGGTCTTTCTAGCAGAATCTTCCACAAAAAGAGAAGAAATGTCTTCATCCACGCCGGCCTCATTTCTGGCGATGCAGGTGTAAGCGCCCGTATCTTCATAGCGCACGTTGCTTATGTGAACCTCGCTGCCATTTGCTGAGAACAGAAGGCAAAAGAAACTTGTGAACTGCAATTTCAGTTTTGGTACAGTGCATTCTGATTACATGCTCAAGCAGCTCGCTGAGCTTGTCCTAATTAAACTGTTTTCCTTCCGTCTTCCATACTTTGGAGACAAGCCAAATTATTCCACAGGCATTCAAGTGTTTGTAAACTGTACTGTCACTACACCAATGAGAGCCCAACACTCTATCCATGTAAACACGACGTTTTATGTCATGTCTGTCTCCTACAGGACACGTAAAATATTTCATATTGATAATGATCATTTTATTTACATATGTATTTATACTTAGTACCCAATTTTTTTAAATTTTATTAATTATTTATTTTTATTTTAGGTGTATCCATGTATTGCCTGCATGTAGGTCATACAATGCTCATGGAGGTCAGAAGAGGCTGTTGGATCCCCTGGGACTGGAGTTATGGACAGTTGTTAGCTGCTATGTGGGTGCTGGAATTCGAACCCAGGTCTTCTTCAAGAACAACAAATGTTCTTAATTGCTGAGCCATCTCTCCAGCCCCAGGACCCAATTTTTAAAACTGAGGTTTTATAAAAACAAACAATAGAAGCCGTGTTCACTTGCAGGAAAACACATGTGAAAATCACTGTCATCAATAGTTAAGTAATCTACATCGGCAAGTCTAGTATTTTCACTAAAGAAGTTACGGAATACCACTGTCATTAAACCACTTTATTACATATCTGGAAGTATTAGGGAAGGAAGAGAGAAAGATAATAACATGATTGTTTCTAAGTTTGCTAGAAACTACCCTAAAATAATCTATGCTATAATATAGAAATTAATATAATCACTGTGAGATCAAAAGGTTAAGGAGAGACTAAAAATTTCAAATCTTTCAAGACAATACTGTAATCTAATTCTTGAAAATTGAGTTGACCCTATAACACCAAAACAAATGTCTAATTAATCATTTGCTACACACTGACGCAGTGTAGGATCCCTTCACATATCTTATTCTCTCTCTAATCAATCAAAAAAATTTAATCAGATGAGAATCTGAAATTTATAGAATAAACTCAGAAAAGTCATTTAACTCAAGTTCAAAGACTGCATTTATTAAGGCTGTGTATCTCAACACTGCATTTCTATGTCACCTTTAGTTTTGATTTTTTTTATGTTCCACATCTCTTCATTTTTCATGTAGATGTGTGTGTGTGTGTGTGTGTGTGTATTACAGCTCATGTGGTATGGGGCTGACTACC